CCGAGAAACGAGGTCAGCTAAAAAAGGAGTAATGGCAGAAGTGGCAGGCAATGTATCTGCCTCAGGAAGCTCAGCATCAGAAGGCTCCAAGGCTTCATTCTTGTCCCCTGTAACAGTTCCTTCCGCTTCTTCCTTAGCGAGGATGTCAAAGTCGAAGCTTAGATTGGGGTATGTTTTCTCAGCAACGTCTTAGAAGGCAAGCCACCCAGTGACCCACTTCGTAGATACATCATCTTTCAGTTGGGCTATATCTTCCTTCAACTAGGATATTGTATCGTCTCTTTGGAGTATGATGGCCTTCTTCTCCTTAAGATCCTGGCGAATGGCATCATTTGCTTCGACTACATTATCATACTCCTTTTTCATATTCTTGAAAGAACGCAGGGCCTCAAGAGTTTCCTCACTAGCTCTAACCCAAGCATCGTTCTTAAGCTCTAGCTCCTCTTTGGCCTTTTTCTCTGCATTTTCAGCTCTCTCTTTCCCTGCCTCCAAATCTCGAATAAAGGAGGCTTGCTTCTCCACCTGCTCCTGGAGCTCCTAATTTTGAATGCGAATATCTTCGTTGCTAAAAGACAACTCAGCAACTTTAATCTCAAAGGCCTTTGTGACCTTGGCTGAAATTTCCAAAGAGAAGATCCTCTCTATCAAACCCTTCACGTGGAGAGCTAACTGAAAACAAGAACAGATGAGACGAAGGTTAGCACCAGATTACAACGTGCAAGAAAAGAAGAAAGAGAGAGATAGACATCTACAGTAGTTGCTCCATGAAGGGCTGAGCTTATTGAAGTCTCAAGTGGCATGGATGAAGCTCTTTGAATATCAAATTCAGGAAGAATGGAGCTAATTGCCCCGACAGCAAGCTCAATATTTTCAAAGAAGGAGCCCAAGTTACTTTCCACCTTGGGGATCTTTCATTTCCCAATGTTGGTGTCCACAAGGCGTGACGGGGGAAATTGACTGGAGGTCGCAGGAGAACTGGGCATGGGCAAGAACTGAGAAATCATTCCCAGGGCCCTATCGACCTTAGAAGAGGTTGGGGAGATCTGTCCTTGCTCGAGAACCCTGCTGGGCACAAGCGGAGACCTTGTAGGAAAAGAACACTCTGTGGCCTGCAGGTTGAAAGAAGGATGAATGGCTGAGGTCGAAGTAGAAGCAGAGGAACCGGGGGGCACATCCATTTTCTGTATCTTGGTTGGAAGAACAACCTCACTACCTGATCCATCCTCAGCCTTGCGTTTACCACTACTTCTGATCTTCTTCATCTGGAAAAGTTTGGCTTCGAGCTCTGCTGTGGTTAGCTTCATCATAGATGACCCTGAGAGCCCAGAAACAGATAAGAACATATAAAAAGAGGTGAGAATAGAGAAAGTGGAAAAGGAGAAGTCAGGAAATACCGGCTGCCTCCTCTGCACTAACAACAGAGAAAGGAATAGGAGCTTCTATAGTTACTTCAGGGAGGCTAAACCCCTCCGCTACAAGAACCCAAGATTTGATGAGCTCAAAATACTTCTCTGAGTTGCAACCCTCCAAAGACCGCGAAATTCGCTCATCGGTGGCACTAAGTTCAGAACGGATACCTGAGAAGCAGGGTAAAACAAGCAAAAAGAAATCAGCCTAAAAAGCTCAAAAATTGATACAAGTTCACTCAGATGAGGACTTACCCAAGTTGTCTGGGGCTCTCCAGACCTGAGGGATTGGAAGAAAATCTGATTTATCTGCAAAATTGTACTCCTAGTGATTGCCCCCCACGAAGAAGAAGAGTTTCTTCCAGCTCTTGTGAGAGCTCGGGAGGTCAGAAATAATCGTTTTGGCTTTTACCCGTTTCAAAATATACATAAAACTGTCTGTTGGGGTATACTTAACATTGAAATACTCCATCAACAAAGAAACAGTGGGAACCCCAAGCTTATGTTTCTTAAAGAAAACAATAAGGCCCACTAGAACACCCCAGAAGTTGGAGGAGATCAGAGCAGGGCAGACATTAAAGTATTGCAAAACACTCTTTATAAAGGGGTGTATTGGAAAACGAAGGTCATTATCGAAAGCAACCACAAAAAAACAGACCTTCTTATGGACTNACCCAAGACCCAAGACCCAAGACCCAAGGCCCTTCCTCCCCCAAAACACAAATATGTACACGTGGTTCAATACCCCGTATATATGTCAACAAATGAAAAAGACTACATCGATATATTATTCTCTTGGGGGCTGATGTGGGTATGGACCCGCAAGTTTGTAATTTGTCATAGATTGTGGATTGGAGCGATAACAAATGTTTATTTTGATTGAACAATATGCATGAGTATGAGAAAGATAAGCAACATATAGACCTCAGAGGGTCTTGGCCCCTTAATTTTTGGGAAATCATCTCGACCCTTCAACTTTTATGCCGTTCTCGAAGATTATTGTGTCCCCCCCCCCCCCCCCCCACCCTCAGCACTGTCGGAGTCACCAGTGTCGCAGACCTTGGCCTTACCTTTGTTGGGGTTTTGTGGGGCAAGAGAGGCAAAGGAAGGAATCTCCGTAGGGTTTCCCTCAGACTCAACAGAATCAACACCGAAAAATTTATCAATCTCCTCACCCACCTCACTTAGGTCAGAAGCCTCCTCAGCTGATCTATTCCCTAAGGGGGAAATCGAGGAGGGGTGGCTCCAGAAGGGGCAAACATATTGGGACAAGAAAAAGGGAGGCTAAAGGTGCGGTAAAGGGGAGGAATATTTGCGAAACACTCTCTAAGGGTCTAGGGGGCAACACAGCAATTGCCAATAAGGAAAATCCTAGCGGTTGAATAAGGGTCTAAAAAGAGGGGAATACGAGATAAAGATTGACCTATATTCCTAAAGTAGCAGAATCGAAAGGTCCAAAAATGAAACAACCACCTTAAATTTGAGGGGTCCAAGACGAAGAAGCACGAAAGGGACAAGAAATGTACCTAATCTTTCGAAGCAAGAAATGAAGAAGCAAACCTCGCTAAGCTTTCTGGTCNAATTGTACTCCTAGTGATTGCCCCCCACGAAGAAGAAGAGTTTCTTCCAGCTCTTGTGAGAGCTCGGGAGGTCAGAAATAATCGTTTTGGCTTTTACCCGTTTCAAAATATACATAAAACTGTCTGTTGGGGTATACTTAACATTGAAATACCCCATCAACAAAGAAACAGTGGGAACCCCAAGCTTATGCTTCTTAAAGAAAACAAGAAGGCCCACTAGAACACCCCAGAAGTTAGAGGAGATCAGAGCAGGGCAGACATTAAAGTGTTGCAAAACACTCTTTATAAAGGGGTGTATTGGAAAACGAAGGTCATTATCAAAAGCAACCACAAAAAAGCAGACCTTCTTATGGACTTGGGAGACATGNCTATATCTAGAGGTCTGCCTTAATCAAGCCTCAACTCAGCCCCTGCCCAAGTTCACCTGGGCTAGGGGGGCAATTGATGATACTCAGAATAAATTTCAATTATGAGCCCATACGCGGAGGTCGGACAAGTAGGCCAGACCAAGAGGTCAAGAAAGATGCGCAGAGCTCAGAGGATCAGAACTAGAGCTCTCCCCAGACATGCCAGCAATGGAAAATATAAGGGAGTTGCTGGATGACAACGGAAATCTTATAGGTGGCAAAGAGCCATATTTAAGGGACAAAATCCTTAAATAGCCAGGATTCTCTCCTAAGATCAAGGAGGGTTCCTCGGGTAAATAGCGAGGATCTCGATGCAGATCCCACAGAAATAAGAACAGCCCTATAAATATTATGTAACTCCCCCAAAGTGAGGGGAGAACCCTAGTAGTATATACTCTATCCTGTAAACTTACTGAATAAGAAGAAAAAGAAAAAAAAACAAGAATTTCCATTGAAGAATGAATTAACCGAGCTCCTCAGTTGGTGAACCACTTTAATTCTATTGTGTCAATCCCTCAATTTCCCATTTTTTGATACTAGTCTTCGCTCCTTCGAGCCTTAAAGCTCAGATCCTAAGAACTAGTTATTGATCATCTCATCTGCTCATCACCATAAGTTTGCACCACGTTAATTAATATTCATCAACACTCATTACACCTCTCAAGAACGTATCTAGCTAGAGTAGCATAGCGGTCAATTACCGAGTCTCAATGTGGACTCTAAAATTTGAACCTCTAATCTCAGGGTGAGAAGTTTAGTTGGTATCCCACTACAGTCTAATTCTTATACTTGCACAAAAAAAAAAAATTTAACATTTGAAAATGAAAAAAAAAACTGTCATTTGAACATACACAATATGCAATATTAATAACAGTGAACTACACATAAAATCTCAAAATCAAAAAAAGTGAACTACAAACAAAATGTAAATCAAGAAAAAAATAATGCACATAACATAGAATTAACAACTTCATAATGATGCATTAAAAACAATCAAAAAAACACAGTGAACTAAAAAATTGAAGACTAAAAAATTAAAAAAAAATGATGAATCCACATTGAGATAGGTTTTCAGTTTTGAGATGTTGGTTTTTAGTTTTGAGATGTGGGGGTGTGGTTTTGTAGTTACGAGGGGATGGGATTACAATTGGAGAGTTGGGGGGTTTTGGCGGGTAGAAGTAGAGCGGGGAGTTTTTTATTTATAGGACAAGGTGGTTATTAATTTTTGTGGTGTCTATTTATTTATTTATTTTAATATTATTAATAGGTGATTCTATATCACATTGTCATGTGATATCAATGTTGTAATGAATATTTACTCCAAGTCGAGGGGCGGATGCGAGTCAATTTTTTGGGAATAGTATTTGGATTCGTGTAGTTAGTTTGATTTAGTTTTAATTAGAGGGTAAAATAGTCTTTTCGCAATTTTTGTTAGGCATGTTAGTTGACGGTTAATGACAGGGAATCTTAGTGTAAATTTTCCAATATATGGGATCCATCTATTTAAGTGATAAATTTTAGGGGTTGAAATATAATTTATTCTAAATCTACACAGCATCTTCCATTGTATGTACACTAACGTAAGCCACACAATGCAAGTAAGAAGAAATATTGGTGACGGAGTTTATTTGAGAACAACTGACCTAATTTATTTTATATATTACAGATCCGAGGTTGAAACATCCCACCGCCTCGGTTTCATTTTAATTCGAAAGAGAGAAAGAGAAAGATGAATAGGGTATCGGGGGTATCGGGTTTCTCGTTATTGCCGGAAGGTTGCATATCGGAGATAATAGCATTGACATCACCCAGAGATGCTGGCAGGGCATCGGCGATCTCATCGGCGTTCAAGTCGGCCGCCGAGTTTGACAGCGTGTGGGAGAAATTCCTGCCGTCGGATTATCCGGAGATCATATCGAGGTCCGTATCTCCGGTGGTTTACTCCACCAAAAAGGAACTATACTTTCTCCTCTGTGACACTCCCATCCTCCTTGATGGAAGTAATCTGGTAACTCTATCACTCTTATACTTAATTTTTTTCTACTTGGCAATTGAAATTTTTGTATGTCCGTTGGTGTTTTTCTCTCTGTATGTCCGTGCGTGTGCGTGTGCGTGTGCGTGTGTGTGTGTGTGGGGCAGATGAAGTGGATAAGGATTTGGATCCTCTCAACTTGAAAATTTGGCAAATTTGAACCAAGTTGAGTATTCATTGTGCCGCTTGTGGGTTTTGATGTGTGAAATATGAGATTTGCACATAATATAGGGACCTAAGGAACTGGAATCTATGGAGCACGGACAAGCTCAAGAGGGTGGCATATCCGGGTCGACATCACCACTCTTTGGACATGGGTTTGATACACTTTTATTAGTATCCATAATCAAATAATAAAATTTTTGAACATGTGTCCGACACTTCTTTATACTGTGTTTTTACTAAATAATAAACCTATATTGACATGTGATTAACAAAAATTAAAAATTTGACTGTTAAATATCTTATACTACGAGAGAATATATAATTTTTAAGAATTAAAATATGATAACAAAAATAAATGATGTATTAAAGATTTAAAAAAAGGATAATAGAAAAAATGAAAGTAATTATTTAAATTATATGTCTAGTACACGTCTACGAAAAAATTAATAATTATTAACTATTAGGATGTTAGTTCAAAAATTTATAATTATTAGATATAACATTTACTTTCCATGAAGTACTGAATTTTCTGTGAATAATATATCATTATCGCTGTGGGATAAATTATATGATTTTATATATAAAACAAAATTATTTATAGCGTCTTCCCAACGTGTCCATATCCTCTTTTGTTGAGAAATGTCGTATCCTCGTGTCCGTGTCCGTGTCTTTGTCCAATGTTTTTATCCATGCTTCTTAGACTAGAACTAGTAGATTAACAACTAATTTAACTTCAATAAAAAGTTAGGTCCTCATTAGGTCCCTACAGTACCGTGCTTTATGTGTTCCATCGATACCTATTGCAATCCAAAAAATTCAACTATGGCCTATTGAATTGGATTTAAAACGGCAGAATTTGAGAGAATAGTGTTTTTTAATTGGTTACATTGTAACAAGCGCACAAGGCTTGTCCATTTTTAGGAAGCATTGATTGGAAGCATTACCCCATTTTTAGGAGGTTGTTTCTCGAAGCTAATTGATTGTAAAGGGGCTAAATGAATTTAAGGGTAGAAGATTGAACCTAACTAATATTGGCAATATTTAATAAAATCTGAATGGATAAATCCAATGCTCTGAGAGCATGCCGCGTATTTTGGGTTGTAAGGATGAAAATTTTAAAATTCGATATGGAATCGGACCCAACAGTTGGTTGCAGAAGCAGGCTAGACAATTATTTTAGTGGTTTGATGGTTGGTGGGGATTTTCAGTCAAGGCATTCTATACGCTAATGTTTATGCACTTGTGTTTTAGGAGAGTGAATAAATGTGTTTCAATTACAAAGGTGAATTTGAACCTGATTGAGCTCATTGCAATGGAGACGAACTTTGTGCTTTTTATCAGTTAAATTGACTTCTGAGGTTTAAGGTCTAGTTCATCACTCTGAAACTTGAAAATTTGCTTGCAATGTTTTAGGAAATTGAACAATATCATTTGTCGTAGTATTTGATCATGATTTCTCGTAGGAACCTACTTTTGCTAAAATATTTGTAGTTAATCTAAGGACTTTCATTTGACTGTGAGTGTTGGCGCAACGGTAAGTTTACTTTATTGTAATCCAAGGGTTCGAGTGGTGGAAATTACCTCTACTCATGAGGGGTAGGGCTGCTTACATCGAGCCCTTACTTGAGCCAGTAGTTGTGAAAGCCTCATAAACTAGATAACCCTGTAATCTAAGAACTTTCAATTGTTGCAATGTGCTTCCTCTAGTCCTTCGAAAACCAAGAGGTCCTTTGAGTAAACCATCACAATGGTAGAAGTTTTACGTTACATTATGGCCATAGAGCAATGTAGAACCCAAAATGAGATTAAGTGTTTGATTTTTTTTGCAACTAAACTTTATATTTGACAACAACTTTTTATATGTTGCATATTTATTTGATATTAAAATATTTGTAATTGTTAATAACAGAGCTTCATGCTGAATAAATGGAGCGGGAAAAAATGTTATATGCTAGGAGCAAGAGAGCTTTCGATTGTGTGGGGAGATACTCCAGACTACTGGGAATGGACTTCTTTGCCTGAATCGAGGTCTCTCTCTCTCTCTCTCTCTCTCTCTCTCTCTCTAGATATATATATATACATATTGTAAAGAGTGTGTGTATGCAGTGATAGAACTACTTGGAGACCAAAGGGGGTCATGGTTCCCCTCACATTTTAAAAAATTACCCCTTTAAGCTTCCAAAAACCTTATGCCTCCTCTTGGGTTTTCAAAAGTTTACTATATATGTATTTCATTTATTGTAGTGAAAAAACTTAATGGTTTGACAATTTTAACAAACTACGGATATTGATCACTTGGATGAGTGTTATTCTTAAAGGTGGAAGGAAACACTCGCTTGGATGAGTTTGATGACCAAAAGAAGAAAAAAGGAGAAGGAATGTTGGCGCAACATTGTGTTACAAGCACGACTTATATCTTCGACAATGCACTGACCCATAACTCATTGTTACGATAATATCATTAAACTAATATTTATTATGGTAACTATCATTAAACTAATATTTATTATGGTAACTTGTTCGTAGTCATTACATCATGTCATTGATGAAAAAGAAATAAGGAGACCATGATATTATTATAAATTAATTTTTGCAATGTTAAGTAAGGATCAATTATTGAATCGTTGGATAATAACTTGTTGAATTATCTCATTGCATGGAATTTTGAAGTGTGTCACTATTTCTGTTTGGCCCTCTTCGCGATAAAATCCTGATTCCGTCACTGTGTGTGTGTGTGTGTAGACATGTGAGTGTATAATGGCATGCGGAGGAATGAGGTCCCGTGGTCTACCTAGTATTTACTTGTTTTTCCATGACTGAGTGATATACAGAGTTCTATATGTCCAGATTTCCTGAGGTGGCTGAGCTCCTGCGTGTATGTTGGCTTGCTATTGGAGGCAAGATGCAAACTCAGATGCTATCCCCAAAGACCACCTATGCAGCTTACCTTGTCTTTAAACTTGCAGAGTGGAACCATGGGCTTGATGTCCCGTCAAAGGCATCGGTTGGATTTGTTGCGGAAGGCCAAGAAGGAGCTGAAGATTCGAACCACACAGTTTACTTGAAATTGGCAACAGATAGACCTCAACCTTTGCGAGGATTGCGTAGACGTGCAGCTAGACAACCCAATGGTCGGCTTCCGCAGAAGAGAGTAGATGGGTGGATGGAGATTGAGCTGGGGGAGTTTTTCAATGATCTT